GAAACTGAAGGGCTTTCAAATGGTACTGGATTAACCTCGGCTGGTTTCTGGTCTAAGAGAGGAGCCGAACAAGCAGGACCGTTTGGTTCTGAGACAGACTTTTGGGGTATTTGTCCTGTGGGGTTCTACTGCCCAGAAGGAAGTGGAAACCCTACACCTTGTCCACCTGGGACATATAGGTTAGTAGTGGCTTTATTGAAAGTGTATGATAACATGCATCACTTGCTTGATATCTAAAATTTATTTGTAGTATTTTGATCTCAGACTGATTTGATTGTTTCAGACAGTGCTAACGTATTTACTGTTGTGTACTCACGCTATGAAACACCAAAGAAGATGCAAACAGAACCGTCATCGCTCATGTCTAATATTAGCTGTAGAGGGCGCAGTAACACTAACTAATGATCTCAATGCATTACAAAACAAATTCTTTTCTCGGTGTTAAGAGAGCATATGCTGAATTGAGATCAGTACCCTGTGCTATTTGCATATTTATTTTATAGTACATCGACCCATATTACTGCTCTGACAGAGTGTACCCTGTGCTAACTTTGCATATTTATTTTATAGTACATCAACCCATAATACTGTTCTGACAGAGTGTACCCTGTGCTAAATTTGCATATTTATTTTATAGTACATCAACCCATATTACTGCTCTGACAGAGTGTACCCTGTTCTAACTTTGCATATTTATTTTATAGTACATCAACCCATATTACTGCTCTGACAGAGTGTACCCTGTGCTAACTTTGCATATTTATTTTATAGTACATCAACCCATATTACTGCTCTGACAGAGTGTACTCTGTACTAACTTTGCATATTTATTTTATAGTACATCAACTCATCTTACCGCTCTGTCAGAGTGTACCCTGTGTACAGCTGGCTATTACTGTGATGATTATAATATGACAGATGTAACCGGACAATGTGCACCTGGCTACTATTGTCTTAAAGGCTCTCCGGAATATCAACCTACAGATCCAACTTACGGTGATGAATGCCCTACAGGTATGAAATATCGTCATGGTTACACATCACTATTCCGTTATATTACAATTTTTACATTGTCTGTTACATACCATGTTATCACTACAAATAATTAAACCGCACTTACGACAGCCAATTAAGAACCTTAAGGGGCGTTGGTTATCGTGCTGCGTCCTGTTTGGTATGGGACTCATAGCAACGTGTGTAAAATACATTGTTTGTTTACATGAGATTCGAACACGTACTGTGCGACACCATCGCCCTTAAAAACAAACACGATCTGCATTCACAGTGTATAGTTAGGCCACTTTAAATACTGGTACTACTTCATAGTTTATTTTGCAAATTGCAAATTTAAATCAGAAATTAATTAAATTTTGATGTGATTTCTATTTTGAAACCATGTATCCAACTTTAGAATTAGGAGTTTTTGTTAAACATGGTTATTGTCTGTAGGCAAAGAGATGTATAATGTTTTGTATTATATTTTATGTACAGGTTATCGATGTCCAGCAGGTTCTGAATATCCTATACCATGTCCAGCTGGTAGATACACAAATATTACAAAACAAACATCGTGTACTGTGTGTCCAGCTGGATTCTACTGCTATGAGAACACTACTATACCAGATTCCTGTCCTGGTGGCTACTATTGTGAAGACCAGACAACGAGTCCTTACCAGTATCCATGTCCTAGAGGAACATTTAATAATCTGACAGAAAGAACTACCATTGGTGATTGTCTAGCTTGTCCACCTGGGTAATTAGCTTATTATATTGGTGTCTTTTGTATCCTTGTAAACTTGGTTATGACATTGCGTAAACAGTACCTTGATGTGTACTTATCATTAAGCACCTAAACATTAACGACAATCATGGTACAAAATAGACCAATCATGGTCTCGTGCTGACTGTTTCTAAAATACCACACTGTGCTTACTTGTGGTGTACCCGCTGTATTGTGCAATATTCAAAGAAAATGTTCATAAAAGAGTCATCCATTGAAAAGCATGTATTTCATTGTTGACACTATTTTATGAGTGTTGTATTTCATTGACCGTGACAGTGTTCCAGGTAAAAACCCTGCTGTGGTGGTCAATTTCCATAGTAATTCAATATGAATTTACTTCTTTTTCTGTTACAATAGAAATGATTAACAGTAACCTTTTTTTGTTTTTTAAAAATTCAAGCATGTCGATTCAGTGGCAAAGCATGATTTAGTATTGACATAAAATACTTAACAATGTTACTTTCTAATGTATTCTAGTTTGTATTGCGGCAATCAAGGGTTGGATTGGCCTTCTGGTGACTGTGATCCCGGATACTTCTGCAAGAATGGATCAGAATTTGCACAACCAGTTGATGCTGTCCAAGGAGGGCAATGTTTATCTGGTGAATTCTGTCCAGCTGGTAGTTCCTTACCTTTAGACTGTACGCCAGGCTCCTTCTGTGGTAGTAATGGATTGTATGAACCAACTGATAACTGTTCCGCCGGCTACTATTGTCACAGTGCTGCAGTCTTTCCTAACCCTACAGATGGAGTAACAGGTAAGTCTATCAGGGATACATGTAACTGTTCAGCTGGCTACTATTGTCACAGTGCTGCTGTCTTTCCTAACCCTACAGATGGAGTAACGGGTAAGTCTATCAGGGATACATGTAACTGTTCAGCTGGCTACTATTGTCACAGTGCTGCTGTCTTCCCTAACCCTACAGATGGAGTAACAGGTAAGTCTATCAGGGATACATGTAACTGTTCAGCTGGCTACTATTGTCACAGTGCTGCAGTCTTTCCTAACCCTACAGATGGAGTAACAGGTAAGTCTATCAGGGATACATGTAACTGTTCCACTGGCTACTATTGTCACAGTGCTGCTGTCTTTCCTAACCCTACAGATGGAGTAACAGGTAAGTCCTAGATCTCAGATGGGAGTGTACTTGTTGTACCCTGTCCACTGACTACTTACCAATACTACCAGCAATACATACAGTTACAGTCTATGTGTAAATTAACTCCTATGCTGGCATAGTCTTTTCATAAAAATGTTAGTAGTATTCACCCCATTGACGCTGCAGTTCGGCGTCTTCTACACCGATCTGACGCATATCGCGCAAGGTGTGCCGGGAAGTTTGTTCGAAATTTCGAACGTTTTGAAATCAATCGTCGATTGGCACGTATTTTATGGATATATTTAATCGTTCCAGAGACCTGTTTACTAAATAATGATAAATGAAACTTAGAAAACTTGTAAGAACAAACTGGGCCCAAATTGCGCAAATTGCAATAAGTTTACGCTGCTAGAGTCTGGTTCGGACGAAGTTCTACGCGTGATTTTATTGCGCTCAAGGACGTTCTATTTTCGAACTAGTTGAAACCGGAAATAATGCAACTACTTTCAAACTTCAAACACAAATTTGATTATCGTTATTATGTGTTAGTTTCTGTTGTTTCAAAGATTGGATTATGTATGACAATAATATTTCACTCTATAAACAATATTTCACTAAAATATGTGATTCAAAGGCAACCCAAATTGTAAAAAGCAATATCAAGTTCCGCGTATAAACACTGTTGTAAAGAGGCGGCGGAGCGGAATTTTAGCCAAAATCGGCTAGTAAGGCGTCATATGACACAGCTTTGTGCTGGGACAGCGCTTCCGGTGACAACACAACGGTAAGGCA